CTGTTTAGCCCCGCCCACCGATTCTACAGCACTGTCTGTTTAGCCCCGCCCACCGATTCTACAGCACTGTCTGTTTAGCCCCGCCCACCGATTCTACAGCACTGTCTGTTTAGCCCCGCCCACCGATTCTACAGCACTGTCTGTTTAGCCCCGCCCACCGATTCTACAGCACTGTCTGTTTAGCCCCGCCCACCGATTCTACAGCACTGTCTGTTTAGCCCCGCCCACCGATTCTACAGCACTGTCTGTTTAGCCCCGCCCACCGATTCACGCATGTAGTGTTTACGAGAGAAGCAAACGCACAGGTCAAAGCAGAAACCAAACAATAAAGATGCTCTGAAGACAACAAGACTGCAGTGCAAAGTTGTGGAAAAACAGTGTTTGCATTGCCTTCCTTCTGATCCCAACGTTATAGGAAGGAGTGGATTAACTTTATTTTTAATACAGATCCAGGCCGCGTCAGTAAGAACTTGGTCCTTTGTTCACTTCATTTTACCGCGGATTCGTTTCGTTTCGACAAAAATACTTCTAAATTATATTTTTTGATGTAAAAATCTTTATAACACTGGACCTCAGAGAACAGCACAAAATAAAAAACAGAGGCAGTTCATGACCCCTTCAATTATGATAACTCACACATGAATTCAGCACATTTTACTCACTCACTGCATGGAAGTGGATGGAGTTGCTGGTCTGACCTCCGGCAGTCAGTCTGCAGTAGTACTCGCCCTCTGACCCCTCGGTGACCTGTAGGGTGAAGGTGACCTTGACGTTGTTTTCTGCTGCAATAATGTCCCCTGCATCCTTCCAGAGTTCATAGGTCAGAGGTGAAGACCAGCCTGGAACTGCACAGTCAAACTGGACTTCTGATCTCACATAGGCCTCACTGGGTCCAGACAGAACTGGTTTCAGAAGCAAACCACCTGCACAGAGATCAACCGAACTTGCGTAAAATATCCAAATAATTAATCATGGCTTAGTTTATTATTAGACATGTGCATCTATTTGATTGCAATAGTAATAGTACAAAAAAAATAATTTAGGTTGCTTGCGAAAAAATTTAAATTTTTAATCAGTTAAAAGTATGAACAGTCATATTTTGCATGCATTTATTTTGATTGCCTAGAATCAGCATAAATGTTATTTGTGAAAGAAATTAAGTTGTATCAATTAAAAGGCATGAATAGTCATATTTTCATTATGCATTTATTTTAGTTGCTTAGAATCAGCATATATTTTAATTGTGAAAGAAAAATAGATTTAATCAATTAGATTGGACAGGTTTAAAAATATATAAACCTGATTAATGTGCATTTAAAACATATTCAGTCTATTAGTACTATTACATTAAACTCATTCTTGTTTCACTTACGTATGGCTGACAAATACGCATCACATTAAGTTTAATTATGTTAACATTGTGTAATTCAAATGGATTGAAATTTTATATGCACATTTTATATTAAAATTAATAAATCTTAAATATAGGGCTACATACAAAAAAAGTACATGCTTAAAAAACAAACAAATGAGTGAAATAAATAATAAATAGAAGTACCGATTTCTGTCACAGGTTCCAACAAAACTGAAACACAGAAGGAGAATCCAGTAAGTATACAATAAGTGACGTTTACTGTGAACTTTATGAGTAAATTAAGTATTTAATTGATAAATATATCAGTAACTCACCACAGAGTGACAGGAGGAGGAAACGGAGGCTTCCAGCCATCATACAGGCGATCAGTCGACTACTGACTGTGTGTGTGTGTGTGTGTGTGTGTGTGAGTGTGTGTGTGTGTGTGATATCAGAGCAACGCAGGTCGTTCTTATCATCAGTAAGTATGTGTTCGTTAGAGATAATGAGCTTCATCTCTGTCACTGAAGCAACAAGCGACGCTTTTACACAATCAAACACAAGGGTTATTATTATAATTAGCTAAAACTAAAACCATAAAAAATTGTTTCATCGCTTGAAAATACTGAAATAAAATATTTTTCAAAAATTGTGAAATTATTTTATTTCAGCCAAGACAACATTTCTAATTTTCATTTAGTTCAACTTGAAGTACTAAAATAACAAAAACTAAAAATTAAAAACAAATTATAATTAGCTAAAACTAAAACCATAAAAAATTGTTTCATCGCTTGAAAATACTGAAATAAAATATTTTTCAAAAATTGTGAAATTATTTTATTTCAGCCAAGACAACATTTCTAATTTTCATTTAGTTCAACTTGAAGTACTAAAATAACAAAAACTAAAACTTAAAAACAAGACATATTAAAAAAAAAAAATAATAATTATTATTATTATTAAACTGACAAAAACACAACAAAATTACTGAAACTTTAACTAAAGTTTAAAGGGGTCATCGGATGCTACATGCACTTTTACAAGTTGTTTGAACTGAAATGTGTGTTGGCAGTGTGTGTACACAACCACACTATAATGATAAAGATCCACCCAGTGGTTTTTATTCTTTTTTCAAATCGAGCCGATCTCAGATGCCTGTCTGTGTGACGTCACAAAAACAGGCCCCTCCCACGATAGTTTGATTGACAGTAGCGTTTCAGCACAGACTGGACTGGCGTCTTACCTTAGCTCCGCCCTGAGTGACTGTCATCAGTCCGCCAGTGTTTCACCGCCGGAGCAGATGTAG